CCCCCCCAAAAAAAAAAAAGAAAGAAAACAAACAAAAAACCAAACCCGAAGAACAAACAACAAAACCTTTCCTACCCCTTGCTCTCTGTATCACGAACAACTTAGGGCTTAAAAATAAAAAGGTTCTGTGTTCTAGAGGTAGGTGCTCTAGTTTTTGAGTCACATCTGTATTTCAAAAAGTAATGAACGACTCTTAGAAGTTCTGATTTGAATAAATGACTAAAAATAAGGATGCCTTTTTGAGGACTTAAATACTTCTTCAGGATAGTCTCAGTTCTTACCTTTTGTTAGATTGAAGTAGCACTAGCACTACTGTACATTTTGATGTAGTACTTTTGGCCTTAACTGAAATCTGGTCATAGAACACCATGTAAAAGTGAGATGGATTTTGCTACTGAAAGGAGACCATTTCTTTTGTAATTTTAAAATCCACTAACTTCCTCGCTTCCCTTCCCTTTGTAATATGCCTATTAGTGGACACAGTTTAACTGGTCTGCAACAGTTTCATTTCTTGTACTGGTGTTTTTAATTCCCTCTGTAGGAAGTCTCCGGTCTTGCAGTTCATCAGACTGCTTTAGTAAAGTGATGCCTCCAAGGAAAAAGAGGAGACCTGCAGCAGGAGATGATTTATCTGCTAAGAAAAGTAGACATGATGGGTATGTCATCTTACCATGAGCTAAGACTGATGGAATATCTAAAGTTGAATAGCTGATATGATCATGTTTTTAAATACTAATGGAAATGGTATTCAAATTTGCTTGGTTTCTCAATGCGGAACCATAGCCTATGATTGAACTGTGGGATATTGATAAGCACATCTAGGTTCAGTTTGCATTTCAGCTTTTTCTAGACATACAAGAAGCTTGTAGGGAACTTCTCCTTGCTCTAGTTTGCCAGCTGTCAAAATAGACATACTTGTTTGTTCAAAAAAAACTTCAAAGAGATACAGTAATGTCTTCCTGTATACATGCATACGATCTGGATTGGGCATTCTCAATCTACAGCCTGTCAGAAAAGTGAATGTAGTTGTAGCCCACTCAGCTCTTACTTGAAGTCCTGCTAGTCTCTCCCTGACATGTTATGATTTGATGCTGATCATGTGAGGGAAGGGCGAAGATTGCCCAAGTGGTGATAGCCAGTGGTGAAGTGATGACTGAAGCAGTGCTGCTCAGCTTCCCTCTGGGCAACAGAAGCCCAAGTGGGTTATAATTGTGTGCACGAGCAGTGTATTCTTTTGGCATAGGTGTTGCATAGCTGAGACTTCTGCAAGTGTTAGATTTTCAGTATGTGTATGTTCAGCCAGCCTCAGTCATTCAGAAGCCATCAAATGTGCTCCTTGTGTGCAAGATAGTCGCTATTTCTGTCCACTAAATTCAGAAGTTGTGGGAATACAGGACTGTACACTCCTGCATGATAGGTGCAGGACTGTCCTGATGTTGAAAAGTGACGTATACAGCCAGAAAGTTTGGTTGCCACTGCGTCAGTCAGTAGAATTTGAGCTCTGTTACATTCATGTATTACCGGTGACTCAGAAGACACATGCTTCCATAACAAGTATCATCAGGAGGGTAAAAAGATGCATTTCTCTCTTGTCAGCCTGAAATCAGGCTGGGTGCTTTCCTTTTTATTCTCTAGCATGAGTAAGAAAAATGCTGGTAGCCAAATTAAGCCTCTGGTTATGCCTCTATAACTCTATTGTGTTTAATAGGATTGCACAACTGTAGCTGCACTGGAATTTATTAAATGATCTGTTGATGCAGAAGAAGAAAGAGATTTAGATTTCAACTCTCCCTTTCATTGCGTTGCATACGTAACACTAGCAAGAACAAAAAAGCAGTACATGTTCTTAATATTTTTTGTTGCTTTTCAGCAATAATAAAATACAAAAGCTAAATAGTTGATAGAGGACATTACAGCTTATTCAAAGATATGCATACAATGTGGAAGCAAAATGAGGACAGAATGTTTCTAGAATCTAAGTAGAGAGGTTCATGAAATTTAACTCTACCTCCCTTTGCCGAGACACTGAACAGCCCAAAACCCCTAGAAAGTAAGGTTGTCAGTGAGAGATACTGATTTGTGTAATTCAGATAAGAAAATTATGAGAAACTGGTTTCTTACGCTATCAGTAATATATATATAATAATTTTTAAGAGCTTTTTGAATGCATAATATGAAGGATTTTTTTTTTTATATCTGCCTTTCGGTTTATAACTAATGGATCTTCATTCTGCTGCCATGTAAGGCTTTATTAAAAGGAAGACCTCAGCCTGGTTCTAGAAGTGGAGGTGAAACCAGATCTGCCAGTCATGGGCCACAGGGGAATATCCTTCTCTGATGTGGTTCCAATTTTTATCTGTCTTCTTTCTAAATGTTTTTGGGCTTTCTCTGCTTCCCAGTGTATAAGTTTCTTTTGTTCTGGTCTTCAAGAAAACAGTTTTTATTTCAGCATGACTGGCAATAGGAAATCATTTGCTGAACATTCAGCTCAGTCGTGGAGCTCTATTTTCTTTCAAGGAAGAGTTTCTTCAAATTTGGCTTATGCCCTTGTAACCTTCTGGGACCAAGTTAGACAAAGAGCAAGCTGTCTCCTACTTCCATGCTTGTTTGTCAGGCGGAGCTCATGCCTGTCATGTTTGGTCTTTGGAGGTCAGACATCTCAGTTTGTCAAGCAGAAATCAATCTGAAATCGGGAACATCTACAGCAGTGTGCTCTAGCAGACCTAGTTATTTGCAAAGCCATTTCCTCTTACATTGTATACAGAGAATGCTGTATACAATAAAAACAGTATGGATAGTGCAGCGCCGGTTTATGGAATAAGGGGCTTCTAGGCCCAGTTCTTTACCATTGCTTCTGTTTTAGCGGCAGACTTCCTCGGAGCTGCGTACTAGTAACTCAGGATAAGCCTTCAAGGGACATTAGCCTGCGTGGATTCTGTCTTAAGCGAAAAAGGTAGTCTGTTCTTGAATGTCTACTTTCAATGAAAAATTACAATGTGTGCTCTCCAGAAGAGGCTGTATTTCCTAACAGAGATGATATGTCACTTCAAATGTTTATGGAATGATGTAAATTTTGTATGTTTCTCAGTTACAGTGGCAAACTTATAGGGGCAACATTAACAAATAAATTCAGTGCGAAAATGTTAGGTAGTAGTCTGAAGATTATCAAAGGAGTGTCATCATTAATGGTGTTATCACAGCTAAGACCAAATGTTGATGATTCCTCCTGCTTTGTCCATACGAAGGAAATTTATTTTTTTAATCCTTACGTGGATGGTTTTGTTGGGTGATATTTTCAGTCTTCACTATTTGTGGTGTGTTCCTATAATCTCTTCAACTATGATAGTAATATTTTTGAGATATGTATTCTTTCCAGAAAGTTTATTTCAGCAGGGCTCTGTGCTGAAAGAGAAGATGATTTCTAAAGGCTCTTGAACTCATAAACTTAAACACATCTGATACCAGGGAGCTTGTAATAGCCTTCACCCTCAGTTCCAGGCTGTTAGGGACACAACCTCATTTTGGAAGGAGTAGTGGAATAATGACACTGGCTATTGAGGAAAAACATTTATAGGAACAAATCTATTTGGAAATGCTGATCTCATGCATAGACTGATTATGGAAAACAAAGATTCCAAACATGTTCTTCAGCATCCCACCCTTATATAATAAGAGCTTGAATTCTGTTAATTAATGTTCATAACGTCACCTTGAACCATGAATGCAGTGCTTCAGTGGGAGGGAATTTTTATACCAGATGATGTATGATGAAAAGAACTTGGTGTATTCATTTCTGGATCACAGTAAGATTTATCCTGTCTTAAAGAGTAGCTATTGGAAGTAAACAGTTTAGCACACACTCACCAGAACATAATGACTTGAAGACTTAGTTTGTGTTTTCCTCTCAGTATCACAGTCTTGACTTAGTTGTACTTACAACTCTCACAGTATAGGGTATTCTCAAGTTGGAGTTAAAAATACATTTTCTGTACATTGCTCTTCCATCATTGTGTTAAGGGTCTTAGGAAAGATAAAGCACGTTTCATGTAAAGATACTTGCTAGGTAAGAATATAGTCCTCACTGTAATTATCTAATGCTGTGTATGTGTTATACAATCTCTAGCCAAATACTGGCTTTTCCTCAGGGAAAAATGAGCTGTATAATGTAATGTCTTCTCTTCTTTCTGATAAGTCTCATTGAAAAAATAATTCTATTCCTTATTCCAGCATCATGCTGAGGGCAAAAATCTTACAGTAATGGATATTTGGACCTTAGAAGGATGAAAACTAGGAACATTTAACTGTTTCCCTTAAAGTTATGTTTTAAAGCAATGAGATCTAGAGTCTAATTTATCCTGGATGTGTGTATGGACCACATAAGGGCCTATTAACATGAAAAATAGATTTTCTTTATTGAGTAATAAGCTCCATACTCTATAGTGGAAAAATATAAGTTTTGAAAACACAGTCAACATACTATTATTAACCTGGGAAAGTAAAATGGGAGTGTACTAACCTTGGAAGTTTTCAAAACCTTTAGTGTTGAGAGGATTTTTTGTTCTGTTGTCACTTACTAACTGCTTTGGTCCTGCCCCATGCAGACAGCCTGTTACCAACTGTCATGGATGTCTAGACCTTACTCCTTGAAGTAGACATTTTCAGGTACATATAGGTATAATTTTCTCTGTTTCTACACCTTTGCAGTGAACTTCACTTAATAGTTCTGAAGAAACTTAAACTGGACATGTGACTATCAGCATGTACACTCTTAAGTAACCCTCATGAAGTTCACAACATTAATTTATAAGTTTAGAGATGATTGTAAGTCTTTAAATAAGAGATAAGACACGTTCATTCATAAAACTTACCAGTCAAGTAAATTTGTCCTGAGGGTTGCGTTAGACAGTCTTTGTCATGCCTTGCAAATTGTAAAACATCTCTCTCCCTCCTGCCCCCACCTGGTTTCTACTACAGTATTTATGAAACTATTGCTAAAATCATAATTGTGAATGAATAGGTAAGGCTTTATAAAAATACTTTTATTGTGCTGCACTGATGAAAATTCTCAGCCAAAATTTTAAATTAATTAATTAGAATTAAGGGAAGTAGTAGGGGGCATCTTCTTCAATCAAAAGTTTGCATCTTTCAAAATATAAATAATGTGAAAGCAATTAGTTGCGTAGTTCGAAGCTCAAACAAAATGAGGTAAATGTTTTGAATAAGTTCTGGTTGCGTAAAAACAAAGCTACTGTTGGTAAATCTCTTAATGTTTTTATTCAGTGAACACTGACCATCTGAAATGAGAGGGCTGTAAATCTTCATGAGAGGTTAACTTTTGACTTACCATAATAAACTGTACCTTTTTTTCTTTTTTTCTTTTTTCTTTTTTTCCCTTAAATGAGCTATTACCAGCTTCCACAATCAAGAGAATGTTTTGCGTGACTTAAACTCCACGCTTTCACTGATCTCAGTTTGAATATTCTGGAGCCACGCAGCCCAGAGTTGCTGGTGTGGTAGGTGGAGCTCTAACAAATTCCAGTACAGTTGAAGCACGCTCAGAGCAGGAGTAGATGCCCAACTTTGAAGACTGCAGTAGATTGAAGAGAATTACCGTGACCTTGTTCTTTTTGCTGGCAGCAACCATGTATTCTTGCAATGACTTGCCTAGTCACCCCATAATAGAGTTGGATGGAATTTTCATGCTTTTGCTTTCCCACCAAATCAGTTATGAATAGAGGAAAATAATCTGGAAAAGATATGGATGATCATGTATTTAAAGAAACGTGAATGGCCTAGACACTCAGGTTTTTTTTAATTAGTTTGTTTACATCTACCTATAGCACTTCCAATTATAAACTACATTGTGTCATCTTTATTGCAGGGATATTACAATTCCCTAGTTCCCGAGAATATTTCAAAGATAAGTTTAAAAATGGATGTTGTGAGTCAGCTGTTAGGTCATGATGGAGATGCAAGCCTTTCTGAGAAAATAACTTCATTTAAATGTGGTTAAGTAGTTGATACCACTTTTTATAAAATTTAGGCAGGTTAATCTCATGTTGCTTTTTCCCTGCCCTATCCCACGTTCTTTCCTCTCTCTAGTTGGTAAAAGGGCTGTTAGAAAGAGATAATAAAAAAGAAAAAGCTACAGGCTCCTTAAGGGGATATTGGTTATAATATAAAGAAACATTTTTTTGAAGTCTGCTGTCACTGTCCTGACACTGAAAGTGTCATGCTAAACTAACAAAAACTATTATTTTTCAAGAGAAGATTTTTCTGAGTCATTGTACCTGCATGTGTGTCTCATTTGAGAGACAAATACATACTCTTTGCCCATAGGTAATTCTTTTTTTTTCCTTGCTGTTCCTGATGAGCAGCATGTCAAGGTTCAGAGATGAAAGGGTAATTCTAAACGCAAGGGCTTGGAGTTTGCTATTGTCCAGTAGTGATAGGTATAGCAGACACTCTGGGAAAAAGTTCAGCATACACCTTTCTAGCTCTGATGATGGAGAAAACACCCTTTAGCAATCCTGTTCCAGTGTCAGCATTCTGCTATCAAATTCTAGTACCAGAAGTACCAGGTATACTCATTGGGCCTTCCTTTATGGAAGGTGTCTGTTCTTTCACTTCTGGTGTGTGACTGAAACTCTGCAGTTCGTCTTACAGACCATCAATGCATAAGCAAATTACCAAACTATAACATGGTCAGCATAATAGTTGTACATCTGTTTGAAGGTACTGGTGCTGGTCATATTGAGGAAGCTGTGAGCCGTTGAGGACTTGCTGTCTGAAACTCGGATTTGTTCGGTAGATGTTTGGTGCTCCCAAAATATTCAGGTATCTACCCTGTGCACTCTGGCAGTTTGTATTTGTCTGCATAGCAAGAGACACTGTCCTTAGCACAAACACAAAACACATCGTCTTGCAGTATGTACAGAGAAATTCTAAAGATACGAGAAATATTCTAAGATACAAAATGGATGCCAGACATCTCTGGCAGTTTGTGGTTTTTTCCTCTGCACATATAGTTCTTGAGACAATCAAGAATGTATTTATGATAGTTCAGAGCGGACAGTCTTTGGAATTACCTTTACCCTGTGCTGCCAGGTTGGGCTTGCTGTGATAATTGAACCGAGTTGTCCTAGGCTGTAATCTCAGATACTTGTCTACTTACTTGCTTGTATCTCCCTGCTCATCTCGCTTCACCAAGCACTTCAGGGATTAGGAGTCTCTTGCTAATAGAACTAGCTGGTTTGGCTAGACTGTGGGGAGAAACTCATTTGGTGTTTGGAGTAAGCAGGGAGAGAGCAGGCTTCATCTTTATACATGAGAGATCACTAATACTGGCTCTGCATTGGTGTTACTTGTTTCTGTCATACTCCTTTTCAAGTGATCCTTGTCTTGCAGAATATGTGGTCTGCTGTCAGTTCCTTTAGGTTGAGAGGAGATTCATCCAGCCATTTTTGTTGCATGGTTTTATACTTCTGGCTGTGCGTAGTCTGTTTTCAGTACAAATGTGATGCAGTGCCACCTTTTAATGAATGTCTGGCTAAGTAGCCTGTAGCAGAAACTGGGATAGCTCAAGATTATATCCTTTCTGATTTTATTTTCTGAATTTGTGAAGTGATTTCTCTTACCGGCACAGGTTGGAAGATCTGTAATCAGTTCTGGTTTCTCAAAAATCAAACTCCGGTGGTCAGATATTGAGCTTTTTGAACAGTAAGTTTGAGGCCAGAGCAAGTTACTTGGAATTACTTGGCCCTATGTTGGGCACATGGACTTACTAATGAATATTGTTTCCTGCGGTTCCTAAACAATTACCTTAGCCTTAAGCACAACAAATTACTTTTCAGTCCCATATCAGTCCTATAAAAACTTGCTATGCATAGATGCAGTGAACGTGTAAAACGGGCTTTTTTTCTGTTCTCATTCACCATTCCTCTTACACATACTGCTGTCATTAGTGTCTTGGTTCAGGCTACAGTATTTAGCTCTGCCACTTGTAGATGCAGGAATCCTTTTTTTGAAATACCTGGACGACCTAGAGCTCTGTCAATAAATTTGTTTCTTGAGGGTTCCTTCCCAAATCCATTGTTAACATACTGACAGCTAATGTGTTGATGAGTTATGTGAACAAGCAGGGCAAGGCACTTGGTTATCACACCTTCGTAAGAAAAAATACTGAGTCTTGTGATGAATGTCTGTCTTTGGGAACCACATTAGCTTTGCATGTCCTAGGTCCCAGCAGTGCTCTTACAGACTTCTTGAATAAATAGAATAGAATAGAATGGAATAAAGATGTTGACTAGCTCCTGCTAAATCAATTTTCAACTTGATATTCCAGTTGGTGTTTGTCACGTTTGTTTGCTACAAAAAAGGGGATACTGAATAATTAGACTTTTGCCAAAGTGGCAGAATGCCTCCTTTCTTTGTCTGAAGACATTTTTTTGATTCCTCTGAATTCAGAATAGCCTAAAAAATATTGGATAGGTCTTTCGTAATCACGTTCATTCTGCAAGTATGAGAATGTTACGTTAACAGACCTGTTTTTTTAAAAAAAAAAAAAAAAAAAAAATTGTTCTAACTCTGACTTATGCCTTCTGGCTTAATTGTTTACTTACTGGGCAGTGCTGTCAGCCTGTTCCTTTGCAACTGCAGTAAAGCTTATACAAAGTAGGTAATTCAAATAGAAAAAAGTGTTTTGAAAATCAAAGTGAAAAAAACCCACCCTACAAATTGTGGGTATATGAATATATGTGTTTGAGACACGTATGGCTGGCATTTTTCCGCAGTGTTTCAGTTTGTTGCAGATCAGTGTGCTTCAGTGCAGTGTTAAGTTTCTTTCCATCTTGAAATTTCTTAATAGCCTCGTTTGTATTTGTCTTCCAGTTAGCAACTTATCATTTTGCTCTGACTAGCATTGCTTTTCTAACAGTTAGTTGCTTTAAAGGAACTGTGACAATATGAAATAGTTCTTTGAATTTGAATGTCAGAATGTTCTGTGTGCCATTAACTTCTAGCTACGGTTCCTCATAGCTGATAGCCAAGCTAGGTGGAGGATGGTGGGATCAGTGTACTCTAAGCTCATAAGTATAGATATCTTTTACATTTTTTTCTAGAAGGACAAAATGCTGATGAAATCAACTCCAGTTTAATTTCATCAAGTTGTTTCAGAATTCTCCTTGAACCAATTAGCCACTTTGTTGTCCTCCCCCAGCAGGATTTGACACTGCAAGAGGAAGGGCTGCATGCTTGGAACACTTACAGAGCTGTTCTTGGCTACCTCCTCTAGTCTAAGCCATTTGTTGCTCGGCTCTTTTCGTACTTTATGAGCCCAAGTTACTGCAGAGTGGTGGAAATGGATCAGAGAATGCATATGCAGCAGTGAACAACTACTTGGACTGCTGAGTCTCTTTCTTCCAACAGGCATAAATGGTATTGTCTCTGTTTCAGAAAAGTCTAAACTTTTGGGTGGAGTAACTCATCAACTTCTGCTACGCCTTCCGTGCTTTAGGTGTTTCAGATATTAAATTCACAAGAATGGTACTTCAGTGTTGTTTCCTGAATGTAGTTAAAATTCCTTATGCTTCTTGTCGGAGGAGAGCATTACCTTGCCAGTTATCTCTGGGGGGAAGGGACGCTATGGATCTAGCTTTTCACATAACTATTTACCCCATGATGAATGAGATTCCTTAAGTTATTGTCAGTGAGGACCTGTAACCTGTTCTCTGTAGTTCTTTTGTGTTACCAACTTACTGGCTTTAGAATAATGTAAGTGTGAGTCATGTCTATTTTGGCCTTTATGCCTTTTATAGGATTTTTTGAGGAGGCAAAAAGAGTATGTGTGGTTCTCCTTAGTTAATAATTCAAAGTGCACAAGGTTTGCATGCACCTACAGGTAGGACCTGTGTTGACTGTGACATGGAATTACTCTGGGTTTAGACCCACAGCCAAGTTGCAGCCCATCAGTTGATTGTGTTAACTAATGGTGTGCACAAATCTTACTTGAACTTACACAAAGCAGTTTGGGGTTGAATTTGAACTAGTCTGTATTTGTTGTAAGGAAGGTTCATGTACACGTGTAACGATTATGAATCAGTTGAAGTGTGACAGACTGAGCAAACACAGTATTTAGGTTCAGTGATTCTCTGTTAAGCAGTGTCCAAAATGACTGGATATGAGGACACAATGTTGGGTAAACTGGTTCATGAAAGGAAAAACGTTGCTGCTTACAGTGGCTATTGACTAAAAGATTGCTTTTAAAAAATTAATTAATTACTTGTTTATCTTTCTTTTTTTAAGTATGTATAGAAAATATGATTCGACTAGAATAAAAGCAGAGGAAGAAGTCTTTTCAAGTAAGAGATGCTTAGAATGGTTCTATGAATATGCAGGTAAGGGTGAAATGCAAATTTCCTCCTAATAACAATTTAATATACATTGGAATATAAAAATTGCATTAACTGAGCTTTTCCAAGACTGAATATAGAGGCTTTTTTGTAAAAGTCTTAAAGAAGCTTTTCTTATGTTCTGTGTAGTGTGAAGTTGAAGAGTTCAAGGGGCAATTTTGTCTTGGTCTCTAATCTATAAAAAGAACACAGAAGGTTCCAAGTATTTTGGAACATGTATACTTTACTGTTCAAATCTATAGTTAAAGCTGTACTTCTGTCCAAAATGTTGTTACCTCTCTGGCTTTAACATGGCAGATGATAGAACTTCTGGTGCTGAATAGTACAGAATTGTGCTTCAAGAGAAGTGTGTCTTTAATTTAAAAAAAAAAAAAAAAAAGGG